GCTATTTGAATATGATTATTTATTTCTGGCTCATCCATTACCTATTTATTAATAATTAATTGATTTTCAAAGGGGTTATCATAACTTGTCTTATGGAAAATGTTTCCCTATTTCCGTTTATTATATGTTTTTTTACAGATTGAGTTTAAAACTTAGAATTTAATTACAAAATGCATTTGATGTTTGACCAAATATTTTATTTTATACGGCTTAATCCTACCGGTGTTTCCTTAATGCATTTTTTCTTTCTTAGAATCTACATTAAATTGATATTTGAAGATAAGCAATATGCAAGTTTAAAAAGTGAAATCCTTTTGGCTTGTCTTGTTTAACTTCTAAGTTTGTTCATGACATCTTGCTACTATTGTTGGCTTCTAAACTATCGCCTTATTGTTGATTTTAACCTTCGTTTTGGGTTAACATATTTTCCAACTTGCTTATGTTTTGGGAAAGCCTTGATGAACTTGATTGGTCCGAAGTTCTTCATAGTAGTCACAATAATTGCCATCATTAGACCGTTCAGTCGGTACATTCTTAAGAGTTTCGATTGCGTCGTTTTTTAGGGCTGCATTTTTAACAGTAACGAGCTGTTGCTATGTGTTAAGTATGGCGGTACATATTGACGACTGCAGATGAGGACATGGGAACGAATCGGGTCAATGTCCAATCCTGGACATTTTCATGACTATTAGGGCAGACAACACAGGAATGAGTACACCTTGACGAGCAAGCTGCAAAAGTGAGGTATAACTTTCTTTATACAGTAAAGAAAGACTGCGGCCAAACTTCAGGCCACACCATTCTCTTTATTTCTACTATTTACTTTCCGTTTGCCATTCTAATAAGGGCCTAATAATTTTTTTATCGACCTTATAGGATTTTTATCTCGCCTACTATTATTTTCTTAATAAAAATCTTTTACTGCTACTCGTCTTTTTCTTACTACAGCCTCTTGTTCGGGATAGCTCTCTGCCATCCGAATCCCTTCTTCACATTGATCAAATACAGCGCGCTTGGAATGATTACGACTTCGCTTTGAATGAACGCAATTTGACACTTCTTTCACAACTGGATCGGCTGGCAGAAGCAGACAATGCAGCTGCTAAGGTGGAGCAACTATGTAAAGAAACTGAATGTAATCTCTGCTTGTTACAGCAGCACATTGATAAGGTGCATGTCTCTTTATACACATAGCTAATTTATTGGATTTTCTTGTCTATCTGCTTGCTTATCTGATTAAAAATCAATTATCTATTATGTATAGAAGTTGTTTGACCTTGTTTTCGCAACTTGGTCATAATGGTAGGAAGACTGATAGAAACGC